GAGAGGAGAGGAGAGGAGAGGAGAGGAGAGGAGAGGAGAGGAGACTGGGCCTTGCTTGGGCTTTTGAAGTCTCAAATTCCATCTCCAGTGATATACCTTCTTCAACAAAGACACACCCTCTAATCCTTCCCAAACAGTTCCACTAACTGGGGACCAAGCATTCAAATACATGAGCCTATAGGGCCATGCTCACTCAACACCACTGTGCCCAGTAAGTTGTAAGCACTCACAGTAAATGTTACTGCTTTTATTCTGTAAGTTATCATCATCCTGTAGATTTTCAGCAATATTTCTTCTCATTCTTTGTAAAGATGATTTTAAGACAATGACATTTTAATATCATCCGAAATTAAAGACATATTGCAAGCCAGCTTCTTGGTATCTTGGTAAGAAGTAAATAACAAACTATCAAAAACAAATACTTTTTAAAATGCTTAAGGTAACAATGATTTCCCTCAGCCTCAGAAGTTACATATTAGAAATACATGTCACCTGACAGAGAGGAACTGAGAAAGGAGCTTTTGGGACATTGAGCATGTTAAATGTTTTAAGGAAGTGTGCATCTATTGGGCTAGGGAGATGGCCTAGTCAGTACAAATAGGTATAAGGGCCTGAATTTGGCTCTCGGAACCCACATTAAAAAAAAAAAAAAAAAAAAAACCCTGGTTCACTGGAGTATAGTTATAATACCAGTGCTGCCTTATCAGCCATCAGGACTAGCCTAATCAGCAAGCTCCAGGCCAGTTAAAAGGTCTTGTTTCAATGGAAAGGTGGATGATGACTGACTGACAAACAGTAAGTGAGGTCGTCCTCTGACCTCGACCATCATGTGGATATATGTGCGCCTGTGCTCACATAGAATTTTACTTTGGATGCAGAGATACACTTCCAGGGTGATTTTTTTCTGCCCTCAGTTGCTCTCGGACATCCTCTTTTTCTGTTGCAATCACTTGAGAGTCAAAGAGGTATCCTATGAGACAGAACAGAGGAAGCACCATGCCCGGGCAGGGCACTCACATGGGACACTTTCTCTGCTGCTCTGGACTTAGAGGATTTTGTTGGCATAGAAGTACAACAGGATCTCTGGATGGCAGTGGCTCTGAAATTAGAAGTTAGAAAAGGTGTATGTGAGGGAGGTTGCCATACGGGATACTAGGAGAAGAGGCAGGAGTGAAAACAGCAGATGACGTGAACTGAGCCAACAACAATATTGTGGGTCATCTTCTAGGCATCTTGCCATTTACATCTTGTTATGGATACATTGCAATTGTAATACTAGCTTGAGTTGGTTTAGAGGGTAGTGGGAGGTAACTTCCTGCTGCACTGGGCCACTTCTGGTGCTACAGGCCTGAAGGTGAGAAACCCCTAGGAGGATTCTCCCTGCCCTGGCTCACTTACCAGCTGCCGGGAAAGCCTGGGGTTCTTCTGATCTTCTTCACTTTGGAAACTCAGCTCCTTTCTGAGTTTCAGATATGGAACACAGGCTCGAACAGTCATTTTGCAAGCCTGGGGAAAATAACGTGGCTGTCCAATTGCCTAAACTGTTAGAAAATTATAGAATCCAAGGCTGGGCAGGTGATCCTAAAGAACTACTGCCCATCTACGGTCAGGACCACCGAGGCTAGGAAAAGTATTCTCACGTCATTTGTGAGTGAATGTAAAAGGAGTTCTGCTCATGAAACGGCCATGATTTGGTCTGTGGCAAAGGCAGAGGGCACAGCTCAGCCATGTACATAGCCCCTCTCACAATTACACCGCACCCACGATCTCTCTTCCTCCTTCCCTCCCCCCTCCCAAAGTGATTTGGTACAGCTCTTAGTACCCGGTGTTTTTGAAGCACTCACCCAGCCTCATGGTCCTTCGGAGACCTGGCCTTGCCTATCACCTAGCATTGCCAGGAATTGGGTTAAAGCAGGGACAGGTCAAAGAGCAAGTGGAGGAGATTGTACCCTGGAGGCCCCTTTGCCTAGCTTTACATAGATGGCCATTCTAATTGGCAGGAATCCCAGGGCCTGGCTTCTCCACTTAGTAAAGCTGTCACCACCCCCTTTAGGAACAGCAGAGATCTCACAAAGTGATAAGAGAATGTCAGTCTCACCTTGGCAACCTGAGGGCTTTCATCCTGCAAATGGCTTAGGAGCGAATCTCGGGTCTGGTTAACCTGGTGGGTGAAAAATTTCTCCCATTTCTGTCCAGCAAATGCAGCCAACTGCCCAAGGAGGACAAAGGCCGAGTGCCTCACGCTGTCATCCTCCTGTGGGTTTTCATCAACAAGAACATATCATCAGATCTCCATCAGAGTGGACTACACTCATCACAAGTTGTCCGTTAAAGGGTGGACGTCATTGCCAGGCCCTGTGTCTCTTCATTCAATAGACAGACACTGCTGGTCTTAGACACCTTGGCTCTCCTTTTATTTCATCTGGGAGCTGCTTTCTGACATTGTCTAAAGGTTTCCTGCTTTCATTTCTCAGTTCTTCATCTCCTTTCCTTTCCCTTTCTCTCTTGTTTCCTCTGTCTCTCTCCCTTTCTTCCTTTCCTATCTTCTTCCCCCTTTCCTTCTCACTCCTTCCTCATCCCCTCTTCTTTCTCACTCCCTCCTCAACTCCCTCTTTTCTCCTTCTCTATCTCTCTCCCTCTCACTCCCTCCTCATCCCCCTCTTCTCTCTCTCTCTCTCTCCTCTTCCTCCTTCCCATCTTATTCACCTCACCATCTCTCTTCTTCCTTCTGTCTGAGTTTCTCTTACAGATCAAGGGAATAAAAATCCTGTGTCTCCCCTGCCCCCAACACCCTCTCCCCTCTCCTTCTCTCATCTCTTAGCTCTTCCCTGGGAGCCCATCACCCTCTTTTCTTCCACATAAATGATTTGTTTTACATATCTGCCTTCTTGGGCAAGGAGGGTCACACCAAGAGATAGGCAGCCAACCCAGTCTCCTGATCTTGGTACACAGATTTTTATATCAGCACCTACTGTCCTGTCCAGGGAAACCAAGGAGAATGGGGGTGGGGGTGGGCCTCTCCAAAGGAAAAGAAGCATCTAGAAATGGGTCACAAAGACTCATCCAGAATGAGACAGCACCAATCGTTTTGCGGAAGTATTCAAAAATATATTTTAGCATGATCGACTCATGTAAGTTGCCTTGGGGTAACGTTCTGTGCATTGCCCTGTTCAGTGTGAAATAATGCTTAAATCAATGCAACTAGAATTTAGTGAGAACTTGTTCCAGCTAAACTCTCCCCCAAGGCTTCTATACAGAAATTCATAAGCTGTCCCCCTGCCCCCCCAAGAATCTCATAATCATCTACTGGGGGCCCACGTTCAAGCAAACATGGCATGAAGCTGGCCATTGTGGGACTGCATAAGGGTATCTTGGTTCATGGTTGGGCATGGGCCTGGAACCCCAAGACTCCAAGGGAGAAACGGTAGGTGTTCAGTCACATCCCCAGAACCCAGAGTCCCGACACTCAGTCTCCTCTCCATAGACCTACATTGTTCAGTCACGTAGGCCATTACAGCCCCTCCCAAAGTGCACAGGTCGAGGGTGTGACTACAGGCCTTAGGCCCTATGGATTTACATACTAATGAAGGCCAGAGGGCGGAGCCAATTAAACATTCTTCCCCAGATCCTCCCCCTTTCTCCCTCCCTATTTAACTCAGGTCTGCCCTGAGTTTCAGGGGGGTACATCCAAATTCATCCAACATCCGCCATGAAAATAAACCTTTCGGGAACCAAGGACTTTCTCGTGTCATTGTGGCCTGCCTGTGGAACCTTAGACGTTTCTCCTGTATGTGGGACCAGCCGCATGGAAAGTCTCCGAGACTCCACCACTCTGGCATTTATTTTCCCACAGGCCATGTTCAGAGTGTAACTCTCTTTTTTCTTTTTTTGTTTTTTTGGGTTTTTTTTTTTTTTTGAGACAGAGTTTCTCTGTGTAGCCCTGGTTGTCCTGGAACTCACTCTGTAGACCAGGCTGACCTCGAACAGAGTGTAACTCTCAAATAAATTCTGTCATCAGACAACGGAGGTGGTGGTGGTGGTAGTGGTATGGTGATTTCCTTTTCTACATAGCCAAGGATTGTGCTAAAAAAAAAAAAAAATTGACAGGCAACTGGATTTAAAAAGCAGTTGAGTAGAATTCAACTGAAGTTCAGGTGGCACTGGAGGGATTTAAGGATATGTCCTTAGATTGGAGCTGACATCCTAAGGTGGTGATGTCAACATCTTCCTACCAACTCCTCAAACAAGATAGGATTGCATTCAACAGCAAACATGTAGGCAAGGGTAGTGTATCATGCCTGTAATCTCAGCATTCAAGACCTAAGGCAAGAGGATTGCCACGAGTTCAAGGCCAGCCTGGGCTACATATTTGTTACAGGATATTTGAACCTGATTCTAGTTGTGGTGTGGCTCAGCCCTTAGCAGACACCTTTAATCCCAAACAATGAAAGTAAAGTTAGTTTGTAGAAGGAAGCACCCATGTTTGGGAGTGATGTCTAATTGAGTGGCAGACAAAGCAATGAATCAGAGAAAGATTTGACAGAATAGGAGCTGCCCAACTCTCACAAGAAGAGAGAGAAACGGAAGCTACTTGAGGTAGCAGCACAGAGAGAAAGGAGGAGGAAGGAAGCAGCTTCGCCAGGACATTTATACAAAGACAAGTTGCAGAGAGAGAGAACAAATTAGACACAGGTGAAGACAGAACAATCCAGAGAATGAGAAGGAGCCAGAAGATAAGAAGATATTGCCCAACTTAGTATGAGGGCAAGCAGAGGAACTCAGTAAGAAGCTGAGAGAAGCTGTATTGAATCAGTTTACAGAGGAGTTTGAGCCAGAGCATCTGGGTCAAATCAGCCAGTCAGAGGTCTGAAGAACTAGAAAGAGTAAGCTTATTCAGCTGTAAGTCTCAGAGATTGAAAACATTCCAGGCCTAGATTAGGCCATATAGAGGTTAGAAGTTTCCAGGACTAGGCCTAGGTTAACAGACAGAGACAGTAAGCCTTGAAGACAACAGTTGCATTACTACAGGAGATTAAAAGTTAATTTTACACATATTGGGTCCATTCCATGCCATCTCCAATGAAGTATTAACATCTGTCTCAATGGAGGAAGGAGGGCCATTGGTAAGAGAGCCAGCAGCTCTGATGGAAAAATCTGAGCTCTGTAAGCTTGGAGTTGTTCCCTTCTTTTGAGGAGCTCAGCATGTGGCTCCATGGGGAATTAGGGATGGAGGGACAGGGACTATTGGTTCTTGGGATAAATAAAAGTCTGAGGCATGTCTAACAGCTGCTGTCTTTGTTAGAGAGGCAAGGAATAACAGTAGCAGGCTGACTGTCAGCTCGAAAGTCAGTTATGGATGAATCCCCACTTTGAGACTCAATGTTGTGCCTTCAGTTGGCCCATTTTATCTTGTGGCTAACAGTGCAGAGGCCACGGTCAGATGGCTGCTTTCAGGATGCATAGCGGTTCTGTGAACTGAGAGGGCAGGCCCTAATCTTTCCTCAGTCTCCTCATTTTAGAATAAAGATCATTGCAGAACCTACAGAAAAGGGTTATTGTAACAACTAGATATGTATCCATGGCAATTGTGTGGCATTGTAAATGACACATGGGAAGGACTCACTAAATGCTAACTTGTTGTGGAGAAGAGAAGACTGAGCACAGGTCAGCATCAGCACCACCACTACCATCATCCTCACTAATGTATATATTCATTCCCCTATTGAAATGAGAACTTCTCAAGGGAGAGCAACAGGATTCTATACATCTTCTATGTTCTCCATAACCCCCATCCATAACTTCTCAAGAAAATGTATTCATAAAATAGCGACTAACATAGACCTTGTTTCTGAGAAACACACTACCCACAGTTCTAATTTCTTTTTCTTTCTGTGTTTTGAGATAGGGTCTTTTTATATAGTCCCAGCTGTCCTGGATCTCACTATCTAGACCAGACAAACCTCTAAATCAGAGAGTTCGGCCTGCCTCTCTGCCTCTGCCTCTGTCTCTCTCTGCCTCTCTGCCTCTCTGCCTCTCTGCCTCTCTCTGCCTCTCTCTGCCTCTCTCTGCCTCTCTCTGCCTCTCTCTGCCTCTCTCTGCCTCTCTCTGCCTCTCTCTGCCTCTCTCTGCCTCTCTGCCTCTCTGCCTCTCTGCCTCTGCTGGGGATAAAGGCATGCTCCAGCTCTATATAGCTAGAGGTTGTCATTTCTAATCCAGGACTATGTCACAGCCCACGACCATGTGCTTACCCCTTCTCACTTACATCATTCAATAAAGTCCGGGTCTGAAGGGTGATGTCTATGAAGAAGGAGCCCAGCCCTTGGCCCTGGATCTTGCCCAGCAGGATGATCAGAGTCTTCACACTCTCGTGGATAACTTCAGAACTCACAGGATCATATAGTCCATTTACCAGGAGGCCAAGCATAACTTTCTTATACTTTCTCACCTGCTAGCAAGGTTGGAAAAGCATTAGAATCATAGACACTCACACATAAGCACAAACATGTACACACACATGTACACACACACACACCCTACCCAGGAGCCCAAGTTACATTTTATAGCTTATTAACATATACATCATTGTATTTTGCTCATATTCATCCCCTGCTATACCCCCATTCTCCCTTCCCCCACTACTCCACATGCTGATCCCCCTCCTCACAGTAGTTCTCTCTCTGTTCATGCCATTCCTATGTATAATATATAATAAAATGTATAATTTATATGTATAATATATATTAGTGCATAAATGTATAATATATATACACACACACTTTCTTCTGAATCTTCTACCAACTCAGCCAAATACAAATGCTTCTAATAACCCAGGTCAGGAGCCCAGCTTGTTCTTAGAAGAACAGAAAGGACAAACAGAAATGAGGCCTCTGGACAATGGAGATGGAAGATTCTTCAAGAACAAGAATAAAGGTGTTCGCCGGGCGGTGGTGGCGCACGCCTTTAATCCCAGCACTTGGGAGGCAGAGACAGGCGGATTTCTGAGTTCGAGGCCAGCCTGGTCTACAGAGTGAGTTCCAGGACAGCCAGGACTATGCAGAGAAACCCTGTCTCGAAAAAAAAACCAAAAAAAAAAAAAAAAAAAGAATAAAGGTGTTCCAGGGACCTTCAGAGTGCTCGGTGTCTTTTTTAATGGCAAGGGGGCACAAGCAGGCATCAATGTGCACAGGCACTAAGGAAGGGGCCTGAAAGATGCCTTTCCCTAAACGAGAATTATGAGAAGATTGCTTAAATTCTCAGAGTGATATCAACCTGAGTCGGTGCTACTGTAACTGTTTCCCAAGGCTGACAGAGCTGAGGCTGGCATCTAGCCAGATGCTACAAGAGTAACCAGATGTCTCTCCTGGTTGCTAAGCTATATTACATAAGACTCCAGTCGATCAGACAGGAGTGAGAAACACCTCTAAAAAAACAAGTTATCACGTTCTGAGAATGTGGATCCTAGGAACCTGGGTTGGGGGGTTGAGGAGATGGCCTCCAGCAGACATTCAGTAAGGAAAGAGAAACCTCAGTCCTACCATTGGAAGAGCCAGTTCTGCAAAACAACTTACTTGGACTTTCTTGGACACTCTTGGACTTTCTTGGAAAAGAACCCTGAGCTCCTAGAAGGCACAGTTTGGTGAACAGTGTTTTGCAGCCTTGTGAGATCATGAGGAACTGATGGAGTTCTATACCTGGGCCCCTGAGCACAGATACTGCTGTCTGGTAGTTTATGTAGTTTGTTAGTGTCAGCAGTCCATGGAACATGTGCACAAGCTGTGTAGACTCCATGCCCTGAGGACTTAGAGTCTTGGGAAGGCTCTCTGATTTCCACCTCCCCCTACCTTGTCAGGAGCTTCACAGGCCAGAGTACCCAGGCCCCTCATTGCTAGACGGCGCTTTTTAGCATTAGGATCCCGGGCTCTTTCTCCCAAGACGGAGAGCACGTTCTTCAAAGGCTCCCGCTTCTGCAACCTCAGTTTCCAAGAGACCTGGGTGGTCAAAAGTGCATTAATTCAGGGGCTGATGAGATGGCCCAGTTGCTAACATGCTTGCTTACCAAGCATAAAGACCTGAGCTCAAATCCTCACCACCCACATAAAGTGGCACCACTGGGAAATCAAACCTTAGCACTGGGAAGACAAAGAGAGAAAGAAAGAACTTTAAAGTGTACTGGCCAGATAGTTTCTTAGTGGAATCAATGAGCTCCAGTCCAGTGAGAGTACAGGACAACTGATGAAGACACCTGACGTTCACATCTGGGATACGCTGTTACACACACACACACACACACACACACAGAGAGAGAGAGAGAGAGAGAGAGAGAGAGAGAGAGAGAGAGAAACTAGTCATTAAAAGCAGGGTTTTGCATAAACTAAGCCCTCACCACTAAGCTATACCCCAACTTTTAAAGATGAATTACTTTTACTTTTGCTGGCAAATATGTTTGTCTACAATGCAGAGACACTGATGAAGGAAACAATGCAGGGCTGGTGTTGGGTGGGTTGGTGACTCTAGAGACAGAGACAGTGAACTGTGTGACAAATGCTCAGAGATCAGAGGGCTGTCCTTGAGACCCAGTGTATGTTGTGCTGTAATTTCTCCTATCTGAAAAGTCCTCTAGCCCCTCTTCCTCTTTCAATCCATCCTCATCCCTCTGCTGTACGCTAAGCTAAATAAAATGAATGGCATATGTGTATGATACCTGCTTTATCCAATTCCTCTCTTCCGATTCTCTCTTGATACTTCTGCAGGCAGGCCAGTGTTCCTGAATCTCTATCTGGCAGTGTGACAAATTCTAAGAGACCTTTCTCGATAGTCACTGTCCTCAACCTTTCACTAACATGTGACTCGATTGCAACACCTCAACAAATACCAATTACATAGCTACAAACATTCCAGGACATTTGAAGGTTGCCTCAACTTTTGAATTCATGCATCTGAGCAAAGAAGAGAAAGGAGAAGAAGAAGGAGGAGGAGGAGGAGGAGGAAGAGGAGGAGGAGGAGGAGGAGAATTAGAAGAAGAAGAATTAGAATTAGAAGAAGAGGAAGAGGAAGCGGAAGAAGAAGAAGAAGAAGAAGAAGAAGAAGAAGAAGAAGAAGAAGAAGAAGAAGAATTAGAAGAAGAAGGAGGAGGAGGAGGAGCAAGAGGAGGAGGAGGAACAATAACAAGAAGAACAAGAAGAGGAGGAGAAAGAGGAAGAGGAAGAAGAAACACACTAACACAATGAGGAAATACTGTGTATTTTATGAAAAATCCTACACTTCCAAAACTGAACTAGATCAAGATACAGGCCACCTTTCCACTGAGCAGAGGAGCTGCCTCACGGGGGGAGCAATGGGCTTCCATGCCAAGAAGGCTCTGCTGTTCTTCAGGACACAGAACAAGGCAACCCACATCAGAGGCAGATCCCAGACGATGAAGGATCTCACCAATGGCCAGGACTTAGTGATGAAGGCTTCAGATGAAGGCTCAGTGGGTAAAGCATGCATGAGCCCCATGTAAAGACACACAAGAGCTCTTGTCTATAATCCTAGTCACCCTGTAACAAGACGGGGAGTAAGGAATCCCAAGAGAAGAGAACTCCTGCCTCAAAGGAGGTGGAAGGTAGGACAGACAAAGGCTGTCTTCTGACATCCATGTGTGGATCATGGCATGAGAGCACCTGTACTCACTTTGGAATGGAGGGGGGGGGGGAGAGAGGGAGATAGATAGATAGAGAGGGAGGGAGAGAGAGAGGAGAATGAACGGGAATCAAAGACGAAAGTTAGCTCCCATTCTTAGGAAGCAGGTACGGATGCAGGGTCCAGATCCAGCAGTTTGCTCAGCACCGTGCGTGAGATATCATAACTCTCCAGTGTCACTATTTCTGAGTATATATCACAGTTCTTGTTTTCTTTTTTAATTTTTGAGTTAGCAGCGAGCTTCTCATCTTCTCACAAGCATCCTCTATCCCTGCTGACAAAACTGTCATCACACGGCTTCCGGAAGGAACCCAGGCAGAGTCGCTCTAACTACAGAGACAGCAGGCTCACATCTTACAGAGTGGCAACGGGAAGGGATGTCATATCTAACCTTGGAAAAGAAAGATAGCAGTGGTGTCCTTCTCTTCTTGGACTTGGTAGGGGTGGGGAGGGGCTGGTTCGGGATTCTCTGTGTTTGTTCCATGAAACTAAAAGAAAAAAAAGAAAAAAGAAAAAAATCATGAGATGAGCCCCCAGATGGTCATCTGAAGTCATCTGAAGTGTCCCTGTCAATCACCCTTGCTGCTCACTGTGTAGAATGCACCCTACTGGGGGAAGAACACAAAGACAGTGCGAGCCTTCCACCTTGCTGAGGAACTAGGAGTCACAGGACAAGGTCAGAAGCTCAGCAAGACAGACAGAGGGGAGCAGCAGCTGACCTCAAGCTCCCAGCAATCCTCCTGTCTCTGCTTTCTGAGTGCCAGAATCAGAGCTATGCACCGCCACCCTCAGCTCCAGGCGAGTGTTATGAGCTACTTGCTTGAATATGGTGTGAGGCATGGCGCTTCTATAGTGGCTTTTGCCTGTGAGCATTCTGCAGTTTAACAGAAGAGGCCCACAAGTGTCTGCAGGTGGTTCTCATCCCTGGAGATATCAGAATCACCTACAGTATTTTTAAAACCCAACTCCCTGGCTGTCCTAGGTCAAGGTTGTCAACTTCTCTGGAAGTGGCCTTGGCATCAACCTTTTTTTTTTTTTTAATTGATCACACAATCAAATAGCCAGTCACTGAACTAGGGTGACCAGTGACCAGAAACCTGTCTTGGTTTGCCTGAGACTGAGGAGTTTCCTGAAGAAAAGGGGCCCAGAGCAAACTGGAACACATCCCCCCCTGACAGGTCCCAGCCCTCTTAGGCAACCACATAGCGGAGCAGCTGATTCGCTTGGGCGTAGAGAAGAGTGGGGACTAATTTTCTCTGTCATCTTTGTTTTCGAGCACATTTTCTTGGTCAGAAGGCATTAGGAAGTCATGAAAATGCATCTTCTACTTACAGGTAGGTAGGTGTCCAATAGCAACAAAGAGAGAAGCCATTTCCTCCAGAAATGTATTCTCAAATGGGTTGTCCAATCCCAAGTTGTCAGCCCCAGATACATATACGTGAGCAATGATAAATGGATTCAGTAGGTTGTGTGCATGAATATGTATGTGTGTGTGAATGTGTGTATATGTGTATATACGTGTGTATATAAGTATATACACATATACGTATATACACACATATATACATATGTATGTATATATGTATACGTACATACATATACAAACCAATAATAATTAAAGAAGACAGCATGTGTTAGAGGAAGAGTGGGGAACATGAGGAGCTGGGGGGAGGGGCAGAAGTGATATAGATGCCATGCTTACTCATGACATTGTCAAAAACATAACTTTTAAAAGAACAAAAACATCTCCAGCCTCTGGACTCCATTTCTCCTTTCTCACTGGTCAGCAGAGCTCCCTGTACTCCTGTGATGGGGACTAAACCCAAACAGCAGAAAAATGGGGGTAAGGAGATGGCTCAGTCAGTAAAGTACTTGCTATATAAGATGAGGACCTGAGTTCGAATCCAGCCCCCCATGAAAAAGCCAGGCATGGCAGAACTCCTTTGTAATCCCAGAGTTGGGGAGGCAGAGAAAAGAGGATCCCTGGGGCTTGCTAGCCACAGGTTAACCAAATTGGTGAGTTCCAGGTTCAGTTAAAAAAAAAAAAAGTGGCCGGGCAGTGGTGACGCACGCCTTTAATCCCAGCACTTGGGAGGCAGAGGCAGGCAGATTTCTGAGTTCGAGGCCAGCCTGGTCTACAGAGTGAGTTCCAGGACAGCCAGGGCTACACAGAGAAACCCTGTCTCCAAAAACAAACAAATAAACAAAAAGGTATCTCAAAAAAATAAGGTAGAGAAGAGCTGAGGAAGACACTTAATGTCAGCTTCTGATCTCCACTTGCAGACACACACACACACACACAAGCACACTTGCACATATGCAAACATGCACACATACTCCCCCCACACACACACACACGTATCAGTCTCTCTGCACCAGTCGCCTGACTGAGAGTCCCTCTGTTGAGAGTCCCTCTGTTACACTGAAGGCACCCCTGTGGAATTTCACATTGTCCAGTGTCGAGCATGTGTCAGAACCCCCAGGACGAGCATATGAAAACACACACACTCCAGGCCTTATCCTCAGAGTTTCTGATTCTGCACACTGGAACAGGCAGGCAACCAACTCACCTGTATCTCCAGTAAACTCCCAGGAGGTACTGAGCTACAACTGGCCTGAGGACCACACTTCAGAACCACCTTAATACAACAAAGAAACCACAGCATGGAAAGCCTGCCCCCTCCAGAATAAAGGATTTATAAATTCACACAGAGGCAAAACAGAGAACAGTTGGCACAAAAGGAAGTGTGGGGTTGCTTCCAGGGTCTCCTTCAGGCTACTTGATGTTCAAATAGAACCTGCTACTCCTCGGGTGGGATTCTCTGGATCAGAGTTTGACAGACACCTGAGGACAGCTTCCTTTGCTTTAAAAAGCTCATGTCTGATAGGCTGGGGCTAGCTCACTGAGGAGGCCATGAGCTTCATTGTAAAGCAGCTGGCGTCTGTGTTCCATGGCAAAGTAAATCATGCCTGGAGCTACTCTCCGCTGGGCAAGGAAACAAGCTGCCCCTTGTTCCTTATGCTCAACTTCTTTTGCAGGATTAACAGAGCCACAAAGGATGCTAGCCACAAAGGATGCTAGCCAGCTAAGGGAGCTTTCCCCAGCTTCAGACACCAAGCAGCAAGCCTGGTCCTAATAGGCAGGACTAGAATTCAAAGTCACAGAACATTCACAAGCAGGGCAAAGTGAAGGGACTTTGAGTGGCTTGTCCTGGAAGATACAGCACCCATGGTCAGAGACTCTCACATGGGTTCCTTCTCTAGCTTACTGCTTGTTCTAGCAAAATTTCTCCAGTGTCTCTGCCTCCCCTTACAAGACTAAGGCTGTCATCTTTTGTCCGCTGACAAGAGCTCATGTTAACCTTAAATGCAAACTTGAAAGTGTTGTCCACATTATTAAGGGAGCATTCTATTTCAGCATCCCTAGGACTTGTCAGACTCCAGGCCGACTGCACAACTGCTGGACCAGAATCTCAGAGAGCCAAAGGCCTTGAGCAAGACTCTTGGGATGGCTAAACACACACTGAAGTATAGGAATCTCTGAACTAGAAATTAACCCCAAGAGTCATACACTCCATGGAGCTGAGGCTGTACCTTAGGAAAGACCCCAGAAGTCACAGAAGGGCTGTGTTTGGGAGACGAGAAAGTCGGTATTTATAAATACAGACTTGCAGCATGTGTTTGAGGAGCACATTGAAGTTCACAGTTGCTGTAGTTTAGAGTCCAGGCTGACGTTGAAGTTGAAGGCTCACTATGAATGACTAAGGCGGAACTTTTAGGAGTTGATTCAGGCTCTGCCCTCACTAACAGATTCATGTGATTAAAGGACCAAAGGGTTAATGCTATCACAAAAACGAGTCTGTTGTAGAATCCAGCTTGGTTGGGCTGAACTCTCACCAGGGGATATTCTATAACACTTTAGGACTATATCAGCAAGAGAACCACCCACTGCTGGGGGGGGGGATCCTTTATCTTTGGACCTGAACTGAGAGTCCAAGCCACTCTGTTACTCAGTTGCTGGTGCTCTGTTATTAGCAATAAAAATAAACTAAGATAACTATAGAGACTAAGGTCAATGGTAAAGCATGATCCTAGCATACAGAGATCCTGAATTCTAGGATTTTTTCCCTACCAGTACTAGAGAGACCAAGTGCAAGAGTTTGTACATGTTAGGCGAGTATCTACCACTGGCCTGTAGTTTCAACCCTCCATTCTTAAAAAGCCAGCTCAGGCTGGCTCTGTAGCACAAGCCAGCATCCAACTTGATATTCTCCTGCCTCAGTTTCTTCAGTGCTGGGATTACTGGTATGAGCCATCACATCCAACCAGAAGGCCATTATTAAAATTTCTTTAAAGAAAAAAAAAACAGAGAAGCCAAACAACACTTGTAATCCTAGCGTTCAGAAAGCAGAGGAAGGGGGAAAGCCTGGGCTACATAATAAGCTCCAGGGCACCAACCTGGGCTACATGGAGAGACTATGTCTCAAAATAAAACAAAGTAAAAACACAAAAAAAGAATAAGAATAAGCAGGCCCGGTGTGGTGGGGCCCAGGTGCACTCGAAGCTTTCAGGGAGCAAAAGCAGAAGGGTCGAGTGTTCCAGAGAGCTCTAGGCTTTAGAAGAATACCTCTTCTCAGAAACTAAAAGTAAGTAAAGAAAACTTGGGGTTAAATGGGTCGCAACCCTCTCCAGTACCAGCAGCTCCTTCCATGAGACCTGCACATGCCAACACCTCCAGCTTCCTCCCAACAGCTGTGACCTTTACACCCAGTCCTATCAAAACTGAAGAATCATCTCCACCTGTGACAACACAGGCTGCCTGGGAGGAACAGGGTGAACCAGCTACAGATGGACACAGAACACCGAGTCCTGGTCACTTGGCTCTAGTCATTTCCTACTAGAGGTAGGCTCTCCTATTGTGGTTAAGGGGACCCAGGCTAGAGGGCAGAGGAAGAAGAAGAGGAGGAAGAGGAGGAGGAGGAAGAGGAGGAGGAAGAGGAGGAGGAGGAGAAGCCTGGAGATCTCAAGCTGCAGGCGGAAGTCTGACAGACCCTTGTTTGGTCCCTTTACACACTGCTTACTGCATCTCTCCACCTCTGGAGCCGTGCCCTCAAGGGCACAAGGATTTTACTATCCCCAAGACCATTGGCATGTCATGGTTCTACCTGGTCCTAGAGAAAAGCCATGGATCAGGGGTACAGGAAGCTTTTCAGGCCGCATTCTAACACCCAGACATCTTTGCAAACATAAATCCCTCAGACTCAAGTATGAGCTCATGACCATCCCTCCTCGTCATGAAGCCATGAGGCATATTATAGCGACCCAGATTGTAAACAGTTGTATTTTTCCTCATCTGTAAACTGAAGAGGAAAAAATAGCTGGATTGCAAATTACCCTTTGAACTCTGAGGAAGAGCTGTGTCAGCTGACCCTGTTTAACTGTGGAAGGTTAACTGTGATTCTCTGGGCTCTGTGCAAACTCCACGGCTGTGGTGACCATACTCACACTTTGTCTGCTCTGCGGTAGGAACCCGCGTCTCAGGAAGCCGTTCACAGCTGTACCCGTTACTGCAACTGTGAAGTTAAATAGTTTACTTGCCATTCGAGGGATCAAACATCTGTACAAGGAAGGGACATCATTTCTCTGAGAGCAAAGTTAGATATTTTGGAATGACTTCACAGTGGGAAGCGGCTCAAATATCACTGTGCTATTAGATATGCGGACAGAGAGTGTTTGAGGAAAACCGTGGCTTCAAAATGAGGATGCAAGGCCCTTTTCGTTCTTGCTAGAGTAAATCAAACCAAAGCTAAAAGTGACATTGATGTCACATGTGGGGTTTGCTAAGGAAACAGCTCAAAAAGCCAACTAGATTAAAATTCAAAGAAAAGGCCATGTCCTGAATTAGGAGGACAGCTGTACTTCAGGTGAAGTTGGGAAGTGTTACTTTCATGAACCTCTACTTTAACTTCTCTATTAACTAAATCCAGCCCCACCAGCTTAAATCAAAGAATTCCTATCATATTTCATTCAATCTCACATTTTCTTAACGAAGCAGGCAGTTTTCATTATCTTCCTTTTAGAGAAAAAAAAAATTCTAGAGTTTAGAATAATATCGAACAACTCAACCAAAGACAAACAGCAATGGAATTCAAAATTCTGAACCTGCCACTCCTTTTTTCTTAAAAACAAAAAGCAAACAAAAAACAAGAAAACTTTTTAACTTTCAAACCACCCTTGGATGTGCAATCCTTCTGGCCCACCTTCACTCAAGAACTGGGGGTCATAGTTGGGTACGAGCATAGCAGGGTACAGTCTGTATGTGCTTTTCATCGGCCCTCAAAACTCCTAGACAACTCCCTGTGTGCTGACCAAGTGAACTCTTCAGTCTGAAGCATCCATATTTTTCCTCAGAACTTCCTACACTAAAACTTTCTGCTAAAACCTAATGATCTATATAACCCGTCTATTGACCGATGGCTATAGTTTACTAATAGAAAAAAAAAAAGTAATAAATGGCTTCCAGGTCAGTTGTTGCCTTATTCCAAAGGAAACATCACAAGATAGCAAAATTCTTGGGATTCAATTCCCTCCAACACCGGTGGCCAGCGCACCTTCCAGGATGGATGTGGGAACTGAGCACCTGCTCAGTCAGGGCTGCCCAACCTCGGGTCATCTTACCTGGTTCCTGGGGTGACTGTCACGTGAGGAACCGCTGATCTAGGACTGGAGGTTGATCCTGGGTCCCTCGGGAGGCACGCTGTTCCAGATGTTCGGGATTGGCCTCCCAATGTGGTGAGTCAGCGATATTTTCCCAGCCCTGGTTTCCTTACATACAAAAAGAGAAACCAGAAGGTCCTCTCGGAATTTGGAGCCAGCAGAGAATAGAAAAGTGAGATAAATAGGAGAGGGGATCCGCGAGTTCGAGGTGGTGAGGTGGGGGAGGGAACTGCCCTCCGATGACACCCACAAGGTTGTCGTTTGCCCACTCAAGATGCTGCGCCTTTGAGTCCCACACTGCCGAGGTGTCTCCTGCCTGCTACTCGCTGTTCCTGCCCCTTACTAATCCCTCCTGCCCGGTCTCATGCACACTTTCTCCAGAAAGAACAGCAATTCTGAGGACTTCACCCTTGCCAAGACACGCGTTACCCGGCATCATTCCCTGTGATGCCAGTAGATGGCGCCATCATCCCAGTCAAGGCTTCCAGGACTCTGGCCTCTTGCTGAAAGAATCCTGTTAGAGCAGCATTTAATCTAAGGACTGGACTTTGTCCCTATCCCTATGACAAGCAGCCTCATTGTGACTGACTGTCGCACTAACAAGTATTGTAACTGATAACACCGGTTTCTGTTCAACAGACGTCGCATATCCCAAAAGGAGCGATTCAAGCATTCCACAACTTAAATCATGTATTAGTTAAAAACTGAATAACGAGGCTTCTGCTACTGCAGCCCCTCGGAGCCTCCCTCCGCATGGTTTCTCCTTCTTTGAACCCTGCCACCGTGGGCATGAATCTTGGCATCAATAAATATTTATTGACTGGCCCTGTGTGGGATGAGGAAGGCCAAAAGACCTTGAAGGGCAGGGTTAATAGGGAAGCAGTTTGTTTCCACATTTGAGAGCCTGTTAATGTTATTTGGTACCATTCATGAATACTTTCTTGTGCCAAGCTTTAGAGTAAATATTACATTAATTATTCCATTTAATTTAGACCAAACCAAGGAAACAACATCTCCTGTTGTCCTCAGTTTCACACAGCTATTGGCAGAGTCAGAGATCAGGCACACTCATGCTAGAGTTTGGATTCCTTTGCTGCTATGCAAAGGGGCAGTTTAGAAAATCCATTAGGTGTTAGGTGGATAAATATAAACCACATAAGTACATTGGGGGAGTGGTTGGCCGTCCAGAGTAAAGAAAAATGAAGATCAAATAAAACCTTCTTTGGACTGGGCTTTGAGAATACCACAGTTGACCTTTGAGATATAATTTCATTAGGGTAAGGACAGAAATAACACAGGAAGATGTAAAGGAACTTAAGGTTGGGGAAGGCAGTTCTCTGGGGAGCAGAGCGGTATCTCTCCTCTTGCCTGAACCTAGGAGCAGACATAGGAATAAAGAAAGACATTGCCGGGTGGTGGTGGCGCACGCCTTTAATCCCAGCACTTGGGAGGCAGAGGCAGGCGGATTTCTGAGTTCGAGGCCAGCCTGATCTACAAAGTGAGTTCCAGGACAGCCAGGGCTACACAGAGAAACCCTGTCTCGAAAAACCATAAAAAAAAAAAAAAGAAAGAAAGAAAGGAAGGAAGGAAGGAAGGAAGGAAGGAAGGAAGGAAGACATGACTAACATGAGATCAGAGCTCCTGTGGATTTTCGAGTTCAGATCTTCAAAATTAGCTTCAATCTTTTCAGTGAAATATGCAAGAACGGGGGTAGATTTTAAAGGCATCATCAGGGTACTGAACATGTAGTGCTATAACTGACCCCAAACTGGACAGGATTCTGCCGGGGGCAGGGGAAGCCAGTGAAGAGATGCCTGTGCTGAGCAGTGCGACTACAGATTGCAGACCGGAAATGCAGTTTACATCCCCCGCAAGGTTGTAGACACAAGAGGAGTAGTGTTTCTGCCCATGATCAGCAAGCCCTCCGCCACTGAGCCATGCCTCCAGCCCCAGCTGGTACCCTAATAATAACCTCTTCTCTGTAATGACACCCTGAATCCACATTTAAGGGCATTTGATGGAGTATAATGTCCTCTCTGTTGCCAACTGGGAACCTAATCTGCACTGCTCCCTTGTCTGCTTAAAGCCACCAGGGGAATCAGGGCTGAAGCTAAAAGATGTCACTGAAAGGAAGCCTGCAGATGCCGGCGGTAGTGTCACCCTGTCACCTGAGCACAGTGGTCACAAGGACGTGGGTATGAGTAGTACTCCAGAGGATTCCCAGCCCAGTGTGTGCCATCTTGTAAAGACTCTTTATCAAGACACAACCTCCCTCGAGAACCCAAGCCTCCCTCCCCTGCTTTAGCCTTAGGCCACCGTAGGATTCTGGGAATTAGAGGAGCCTCTCTAAAAATCTTGATTGTCACATACTGACATGCAGATAACATACTGTCCTTTAAAAAAAAGCAGCACACTGTAATTACTTAATTATTTGATAGCTCTATTATTAATCTCCGTTGACATTTCATTTTGTCAGAGACACACAGGTGCTGATGCCACCAGATAAGTAAGCCTCAAAAATCATTCTTTCTCTTGCTGTTACTGAAGAAACAAAAAAGCAAAGCAAATCAATGGACTGCTCACTTTCTGTTTAGAGCTGTGAAATCGGGAGAAAAACAACCCATCAAAATGGCTTCTCTTTAGTTCAGCACTGACAGGAAGTACTTCCTCCCTCAGTGTGCAGTGTTCAGCCAGAAATGTGTCTGAAAGGAGGGACTCGGATTTCCTGCCTACCGTCTTATTTCAGGAAATGCAAGGCCAAGCCTCGTCAAAGATTTTCACTCCTGAACAAAGGAAAAGGGTGGGGACAGAGCCCTTGCTTGGGTTCTCATCAAGTGTTTGCCTGATCCTACTTCTAAGAGCAGATGTCCAGTAGGCAAAGGCAATACTCACCCTCCCTCTGAAAACCTACCAAGAGAGGACTGACTACGGTCTAATGCGTTCCTGTCAATCACAAGAGGAAGTGCCATAGGAGTTGCTGATAAAGAACCACAAGAGTCAGAGGGTAGTGGCTCAGAAAACCCACTCTAAATGAAGGCCTCATGCATCTGGACTGACCAGACAGAAGGCACCATGGAAAGAAAAACAGGCCCAACCCAGAAGCCCACCAATACCAACCAGCCAAGTAACTAACCCAGGCTAGCCTCCATGCTCCCCAGCTAGCCTGAATTAATGTCAGGGCCACCTGTAGCAAATGACCATCCTTGGGACAGTCTTGAGTGTGCCCTCATCACCTCCCCCTGTCCTATGTAAGTGTGCTTAGTAAGAAAGGGATGGCCATAGTGTTTCCAACATGGAGTAAATGCAGGCCACAGTCGGACGAACTGGGCTCATTCTCAGCTTCTAATAAGCCGTGACCCACCGCCGCAGGGGTCTTTTATGGCCCTGGTCTCTGGATGATGGAACAGGGAGCTGCTTTCTGCTGTGCTCTTATCCTCTCTCCTTCCTTCTGCTTTCCCGCCTCTCTTGCTTGGCGGCCGTTGTTACTAACTTCCAACCCTTCCGTTGATGTTTCCTTTGACTCAGGAAACCCTACTCTGCCATAAGAACTGAGAAATTCAAACCTTCCCCCGAGGACACGGGGAACTGCCAGAGTCACTGAAATATTCGTGTCTTACAATCTACTGAATGCCTGAGAGTTTTTGCTTTGCAATGTGCTCTCTGTCATCACAATACCCTGGACAGGCACACCAGGCCAGACAGCAGGGCTGGCACAGAAGCCAGCCTCCAGAAACTCAAATGAGCACTGGTCCCTGGAGCAACAGTGGTCTCACAGGTCTACTTCAGATGCTTGCCCACCCACCTCCCGGGATGGAGACTGACCTGGGATTCATCATGCCCAGCTACTCCAGGGCAGTGTTACCTGACATGCTTGAGGCCCTGGGTTTGATCCCCGGTGCTAGCAGAGGGGGTAGAAGGAAGGAGGGAAGGAAAGGAAAGCAGGAAGGAAGGAGGGAAGGAGGGACAGAGAGAGAAGGGAGGAGTTTGAGCTTCTTCCTCTCCCAGCACCTCAAATAGTCCTATTTCCCATAAGTAATTATGAACATACGCAGTCAGTTTTGTAAGTCCCACTTAAATCCATACGGATCAGCAGCCTGTGTTGTACCACAGATTGAACAGAACAAGTGGGATCCAGAAACTGGTCTGAGCCGCCTTACCTGGGCTATGCAATGAAGAGCCCCGGGCATCTGACTTTTCCCTCTGCATTCATCCTGATGAATGGCGAATACAGTTAACTCTGGGAACGCCGCTATCCCTCAAGAAAACCCATAATCTACAGTGAGCTGTATTTCGTCCTTGAAGACGAAACATTGGGCGGATTAGAGAGGTGCACAATAGAGCCTTTTGTAGACTCTGTTCCTGCTACTTGCTGGAGATAGCTCTGCAAACTCTGAAGACTCTCGTGGTGTTTCTTGCTGCTTGAGCTGGCTGCCAGCTGCTGTGCTTTTCTGTAGGTCCCCAACAGCACCAACAGCAGAGGGCCAGCCACAGCTGTGTCCCCATGCAGTTTCCCCTCTGCCCTTACTGTCCCAAAGTGTTCTCATTAGATGATTTTGACCTTCCGGCCTTGCGGGGGGGGGGGGGGGGCCGGACATCACTCTCTGACTGTGTGACCTGTAGAGAAGTAAAGGCAGTGTGAGTAGTGGATCCCCCAGAAGCTCTAAGTTAGTTAATAGTGCTGGGATCTTGGGATTCAGCATTCTCTCCTGCCTTGACCAGCTATTCACTGTTAAGTCCCTCATGGTCTCCCCACCTGGCCTTCTCTGTCGCCTTCCTGGTTTCTCTGTTAAGTTTGTTTTGAACAGCACTTAACACAGCCCTTTTTGTTTTTAAACTATACAATTACATTTTATTTATTTATTTATTTATTTATTTATTTATTTATCTGGGGCATGTGTGGGGTCAGTAGACTCAGAGTCAGTTTTCTCCTTCACTAGGGATTGAACTTAAGTTATCACACTTGGCATCAGGTGAACTACTTTTACCCACTGAGCTATTATTTAGCAAGTGTGGTTTTGGTTTCTGGACACAGGATTTCATGTAGCCAAGGCTGGCCTCA